AGTGCACACTGTACAGTAATGACTTCCACACTGTAAAGGACGCAAGCATTCATATATGTATGTACATTAGGGTGGTAATGGGGAACCCTCTTAGTTTGTTCTATGTACGAAGAAAATACATTAAAAATATTCATCATTTTAAAATGACTTATGACTGACTTTGAACAGCTATAACTCAGCAAATTCAGGAACCTATATGAATAAGTTTCAATAATATGTCCAATTTATCAAATTTCAAGTCAAAATTTTCTCGAATTTTTGCAATTTTTAGAAGAAAATTAAACTTTTTTGAAACTTGGCAGCGACCCCTAAAAATGTATTTAAAATTTTGAAATTTTTTGTGAATAGTTTTGATCTTAATATTTTAGAGAAAAATTTAACTTAATCATTATGGTGAACGATTTCAGCTGAACGGTATTTCACATAAAAAAAACGTGCTTGGGATAACAGATGTGAAAGCCATTAAATAAAATTTCAGTATAGAAACAATTTTGAACAAACATACCAGTATTTTGTACATTTAAGAAAACTTAGCAGTTATTTTGCGATTTTATCTAAGCGAGTGACAGTTATTTCACCGCTGAATACGCTAAATGATAGTGTGAAGATGATTCGAAGTGAACTACTTCGTTTGGTGAATACTTATTCAACATACGATAGGTGAACTGCTTGGGCGAAATGCGAACGAATTCACATGGAATGAAAATTCATGATAAGGCTGTCTATTTTGTACGTTGTTCTAAAGGGCTGCGCCATAAAAAATTTAGATGTTGATATTTGAGGACCACCCTAATTTATATACATATAGATATATGCAGCTTTTTCTTTCCAACTATCTCTCTCTTATTTACTTACAAGTACGTACGTTCGCATTGTAGAAAATTGAAGACAATTTCAGATGACGTCGCCAGTAGGACGAGCAACAACAAAAAAGTGACAGTTCAAAGCGCCAAAACAAGTGCTGCTGCTTATTTGGTTGAGTGTGACCTGCTCCCAGACGTTGACATTATTTATGACCTAAACTTTTTCATACTTCATATCGCTGATCACTGTAAGTGCAGACATTGGCGAGTAAATTCTATTCCGTTCCGCGCGCGTGTGAAACAGTTAAGATATTGGAAAGGAAAGCAGCTTAAGCTACTATTTGGTGCAGCGTGTGCGCACAGTGAGATACATATGTATGTATGTACAGTTCAGTTTTTACATATCCTACACATTTATTATTTGATTTTCAAGTGGAAGGAATGCAATTTTTCTAACAAAATTTGCGCTTACTTTATTTAATATAATTTTTTACTTTGACATTTTGTGAGGGGCGAATGAAGTCATTCGTGTGATGTGTGAAAAGATGTTTGAAGGTATGGAAGCTAGGTGGGAATATTAATCATTCATTCATATGTCCTTGAAGCTAGTGTAAATCTGAATGAATTGACTTTATATGTTTTTTATATTAATATTTAATTTATCATATCAGTGTTTATATATGGGAACGTATTATCATTATTACGTCGGGTATGCTTGCGCTGCGACCTGAAAAGATCTATTGTGCTAAACCCGAATTGGAATCACACCAATCCTTAGGCTATTTGAGAAGCTCAGTACTTTGGATGGTGCCACGTTCCAAATTCCCCAAGATGTGTCAGTCTGCTATTCATAATACTTGGACATTTATAAAGAATAAGAGTTCTAAGAGCCTCCCAGCTTAGTTCAAGGAGTCTTTCGGAGTTCCTCCTGGAATGAGTTACGAATCTTTTTGATATTTTCTTTCCGTTTGACTTTCGCCAGTGGGTAGTAGTCCGCGATTCTCCCCAGCCCCTATGTATTTCTGCAGTGTATCCTTTAGATTTACCGCAGAAAGGCTCGGTGCCATGCAAGCGCATTTGGGCTAAATGTTTTGCGCGACAGTCAGCCCTTTCGCTGCCTTCAAACACCTCATGTGGCGCGACTCACCACAGCGTTGCTCTATTGTGTGGTCCCAGGTGGTTCAAAAGAGTTCTACAGTCGTCCGCAAGCCTTGAAGTCGTTTTAAATGAGTCTAAGGGCTTTAAACCTGCCTGACTATAGATGTTATCGTTTCATAGCAGTTTCTTTCAGGAATTCTGATCTTGTAGGACTTGTAGAAGGATAATTTCGGTACAACGAGGTATTTGAGTATTATAGCGGGATCATCCATAAATGGATTGGGAACCTCCAAATGACCCCGAATTTTTCCACTTTTTATGCTGTTTGCATTGGATAGTCGTAGGGTTTCCCAACAGGCCTCCTTTTCAATCACAATAGACCAGAGAGGAATACCGGTAATGACACCAAGGGAATCCGTTTGATAGGTGTGCATAGCTCCAGTGATGGCCACGAAGACCAGTCGGTACAGCTTGCTAAAGGTGGTAACCGACCTTATCTGCTTAGATTTTGGCCATCAAGATGAAAAATTACGGTATTTTAATAAAAAAATACGGGGCATATAGAATTTACGGGCAGTGGGATAATGCATATTCAACCTCTTCAATAGTGTTAAGCCCACAAGTTCTCCCAGTCCATTGGTAGTTTCGCCCAGAAGAAGAATATTAACCATCACTTGACGGCAGCGACCGCTGTGGTGTGGTGGTTAGGAGTGCGAGCTACCGTTCCGCAGGGCCTGGGTACAAGCCTACTTTCTGACTAACATAAAAAGAGAAGAGAAAACCTCCAAGTTTTTTTTCTATCATGAAAACCAGCTTATCATAAAAATAAAATCGCCTTTAAAAGTCGGCGTAAAACAGAAGGTCCTTATCCTCTGTGTGGCAACATCAAAGCGCACACCACAAATCGGAAGACCAAACACGAAACACTAACATATTGCAAAAGCGCCAATCCATTATTCTTATGACGGCTGCGCTAATAATTGGCAAAAAAACAACGTTTGCGCCGTCCAGGAGACTATTTACGACAAAGCAGAACTGTGGTGGGACAAGTAACCTATTTTGACTGCATAATCTGTTTATGCCACTGCCTTCATGTAACTGGCACACAAGTGGATGTTTCAACTCCCGATTTCCCGCATTGCCAGCGGTAACATCCGTCATCTCACGAAAGTCTCAGTCACTTTCCGGACGGATTTTGAGACAGGCAGTAGGGAACCAACCATCCTTTTCCTTCCTTTACATTAGGCGCTTATAGAAGCCAGGTTATATTGCTGCATCCGGATAGTCCGTATATGCACCCAGCAAGAAGGAGTCCTTTCACCGCTTGTGTGGCTTGTGGTATTAAGCAAACTGCTAGTAAACCTAGATTTGACATGTAGTTGGAATACCCACGACCCATTTTAGACTAGGGCTTCGTGAGCAAGGAAAATACCTACACAATTACAGTTGTCCCACATGATCTGAATATCTTTAAACAAATTCTGCCGCGTTGGCAAGGACGCGTGTTGCTTTTAAGCGCAAAAAAATAATTAAAAATTTGTTGTAGAAACTTTTTTAGAACTTCATTACATATCCTTAAGCACACTCTACAGGTCCCCAACATTCCTGCAAAGTATCTTAGAGTATAGCCGCTTTTTCCCGTATAAAAAACTGAAATTTATCAGGACCTTCAAGTGGCAGCCGATTTTCAAAAGTTGTGGCTTCAAAATGTAATCTTCGTATAAGTCATAGGGATGGCGATGACCATACACCTCCGCCTATTTATGAAATTTCCCGTCCTCTTATGGAAACATTAAAGGATGACTAACGCCATCGCTGAGGGATTGTTAATGTGTAACTGGATAGTCCTCCTTCACCTCTGAAGAGGGGAGAACAGGTAAAGCATCTTCCAAATTCTCTAAAAACGCCTGTCATGGGTGTTTGCGTCCTGCTCTCCGAATCAATGACATTTCACCAGCGCCTGTGGTTTACCACATGTTGGAATACGCAGAGGTAGGCCCTGGTATTAAGTTCAAACACACCAGTGGAATTTATTCGCTTTTAACGAAATACATGCCTTACTATCGATATTTCAGGACGATAGATTTTAAGGCTTTTACAAAAATTTAATTAAAGTTAACTTAAGGTGAAATTAGTGCAAACCAAAATATTTAAGTATTTAAGTGCGCTTTCTACATTTGAATTTTTATTCATGTATTCATCGGAGTTGCAAAACGTTAACTGTTCACACAATTTTGCATATGCAATTCAACATAAAGACGTGTACACGTATGCAACTAACTGCTTTACAACGTGCATACATACGCCTCCATCGCCTGCGTTCAGCCCTCACAAGTCCGCTTGTCTCGGTCCAAGCAGATAAACAATAAACAGCAAGAAAATAAAGGCGACTAAAGTCTCAGTACCCAGCTGGTCATTTTCACATGCCAGAAGAAGAAGAGGAGGGAGAGAGAGAGAGGAGTTGGGAGACGAGGACGTATGAGGCGAATAATAACAATAACGATTGATCGACTATTTAACTAGTGCGCCGCACAGACTGATGCCAGTACACTGATTGTTGTCGTCCCATACCAAATATGCAACACTGATTGAGGAGGTGTTAGCAAAGGGAAATGCTTGCAGCGTTTGCTTAAATGCAAATCCCAATAAGCATGCATGTACGTGTGTATGTATGTATATGCCAGGCAGGCTGCAATGGGTCTGTTAGTGCTGTCTACATATACATATATGCACATATATGTATGTATGGCGATTGGTTGCAGTGGCAACATTGTGGTTTCTTGCCTTGCACTTGCACTTCCGCTTCCGGTTTGCTTTTATTGCTGCCTGCTCCTGCTGTTGTTTTGTATGTTGCAGTACTACCGTTATGCTGTTGCTATTGTTATCTATCGACCACTGTCAGTTGTTGTTTATTGTTGACGTTATTGTTGGCGTCGTCTTGCTAGCAGTCGCGTTTGCTGTTGTTGTTGTTGCTGCCTGTCATTGTTTACATGCATTGATTGAATTTGTTTACACCATTAAATTTGCAAATTGCCATTTTGTGGGCGAATTTTGCATAAACTGTCAGAAAATGTTGCACTAAAAAAAAAACAAACTCACATTCACCTGCATACGCGCAAGGAAGATTTTGGTTTGCAGGTTTGCAAGGACATTTGCAAACTCGATTGCGCAGCATAGTGTTAAAGCAATTATAAAGTTCTACTGGTGCTTTTAAGTGTGAAACTTTACTTATAGAAACAAATACATGTGTTCAGTTGTGATGTTCTAAGCGAAATTTTAAGGTATGTCAATAATCGCTTAAAATAATTGTATAGAATTTTCAACAAGAACTAAGCAATAACTATATTAAATATTATATTATTATTTAAATGTAGTTTAACCTTTTCACAAGTATGAAGATTTTTGGCTATTTCAATGCCAGGAAGTACAAGGAAGGTAACTTTGGTCGCGCCGTCGAAGAACTTAGCTTCCCCGACGAATCATTCAATAACGGACTGAGGTTATTCGACTTCGCTGACTTCCGAAACATAATAGACGCCAGCACTTAATTCCGTCGAAGACGTAGCTGAATTTTTGGGAGACCGAAAAAACGGCTGGTACGACAAGGAATGTTGCCCCGTTGCACAGCGGAAGAGCCCCATACCAAATGTGGCAAAAAGTAGTAGATATGCTCCGATTTTGTTAAAAATTTTTACGTGGAGTAATTTTGCCTAGGAATGAATAAATACGAAAAATAATAAAATTTAGCCTACTGTCATTCTGCTTTTTTGATGAATTTGAATTCGGATGGCTGGTGGGCGTGGCAGATTACCGATTTTTACCATCTCTCAGATTTATGTCTTCCTAGGTTAATTCAAGTTACAAAGCGAATTTCATTGAAATCCGATAACATTTACCAAATGAAATGAAGATGAAGATGGAGAGGAAAATGAAAATGAAGATTAAGGTAAATAATAAGATTAACATTAAGATCAAGGTAAAGATTAAGATCATGATTAACATTAATATTAATATTAAGATCACAGTTAAGATTAGGATTAAGATCAAGATTTGGCTTAAGTTTAAGATTAAGATTAAAATTAAGATTAAGAATAACATTTGGATCAAATTTAAGATTGAGATTATTATTAAAATTATGGCTAAGATTAAAGTTAAGGTTAAGATTATGTTACGAAATTCAGAAATCGAAGGGTAAAACGAACGTTTGGATCCATTCAACTCTATTGATATGGCAAGTATTGTAAGGTCTCCAAATTACGGTGGCATAGTCTAACTTGGAGCGCACCAAAGCCAACATAGAGTATGATTTAGCTATCGTGAAGTTTAAGTGGTTTTGAAATGAGAATCTATAGTCAACCAGCACGACTAGATTTCTAATTTCAGTAGAGTTACCCAACTGAGAACCAGCAAAATGGTAGCCATTTGGGAGGAAGTGACATGATTGCACTTATTTACATTTAATTTTAGCTTATTCTTACTACACCAAGCGACAACGTTATCCACATCCCTTTGAAGGTTAAAACAGTCTGAAAGACAGGATAATGTGGACTAACTTAAAAGAACTGTATATGTCGTTTATAGAAATTACAAAAAGAATTAACCGAATACTTCAACATCTAAAACAAAAACAAGCCCACGCAAGTTTACAAACATTTTTTTTTTTTGACTTGTTCAATTATTGTCATTTAAAAGAAATATAATTTAAAATAAATTACAAACATTCTCTTTAATAGCTACATACATTCCGATCGTCAACGCCATGTTTGCCGCGAACAAATATTATGTGACTATTTTATTCGTTCATTTATTACCCCGCTGCGCATCGATTGCAAATCACACAGGCCACCCAGGTGATTATATCTTCCTTGTAGCCGGAGGCCAAAGCATACCAGAAATTCAAAACTATACCCGATACATGGTCTCATTGCGTTCCCGCACGGTGACTCGTTATTTTGGCGATAATCATTATTGTGCTGGCATAATTATCAGCCCTCTATGGATACTCACATCGGCACAATGCGCAGTACAGTTCGTAGATCTCCTAATGATGGACTAAAAGAAGAAAATAATTCCGTATCATTTAATTTAGCGCATCGAAAATTCCCCGACGTCCACGCTCAATTATTGTAGTGGCCGGCACAGAGAACCGCATAGTGAAGAGTCCAACTACAAGCTTAATAGCAGTCGATCGTGTAATTTCTAATCCCAATTTTACGCTCTATGGTAGCAACGATATAGCATTGCTACGTTTGAAAACAAAAATTCAGCTAAACGCACGCACACAAATAATGCCGTTGCCAAATACGCCGCCGCCCTACGGAACACGGTGCGTAGTACTCGGTTGGGGGAGGATTTATTATGTAAGTAGTCGTTTGCACGCAAGTACTGTACAAATGTATGTATGTATGTATATGGTTCTCATCTCTTACTTGATCCACTTTCGAAGAAAGGTCCGCTTGCCGCAATGGTGTCACATGTCGAGCTCTTACTCTACATTGAGGATGAATGTAAGAGAAGCCATCCGCATTTCGCTGCAGGCGACTTGTGTGCCGGCGATAATGTAAACTTCGATCATGATCCTTGTTGTGGTGATTCAGGCGGTCCACTTATTTGTAATGACAAATTGGTGGCTTTAGTTTCTTGGACGCTCGGCTGCGGCCAAAACAAATACCCAAGTCTGTATACGGATATATATTCTAATTTGCATTGGATTCGAAAGGTGATTTCGGGGAATGGTAGGGTGTGGGGCTTTTATAGAACGACAGTATTACTGTTAGCTAATTTGTTAATATGCATTTGTTTGTAAGGATTGCAAGAATTAAATACTTCCTCATTGATGAAATGCGAATTTGAGAATCTTTTTATTTGGAGTTAATCGGGGAAAAAATAGATTTGGAATGACGCTTTATAATAAAAAAGCACAGTTCATACACCTCATGCATGGTTGTGATATGGCGCAGGAAACAATGGGAAAGCTAAATTTCGTTGGGGTCAAAAATTGGTGGCGGAAGTTGCTACTAAAATTAATGAAAGATAAATGTTCAAGATCACCCAAGCACCTGAAGTAAAATCGTATACCGTGTCAGCTGGCATGACCTATCTTATGTTATGGAAAACTCACCACCACATGACGGTGATGTTGTCGTTGCTTCTCTCTCTCGCTCTATCAACAGCAATTTGATATAGTTATATGGACGGCAAGTACGGAAGGACGCTCCATCGGTGGCTTGTTGAGCTCTCAAAACGAACCAAATAGTGTACAAATAGTTACATGCTTGGGAAAAACTGGAGCACCGTAATCCTGCCTGCGTCAGAAGCACTAAATTTCAATCTAATTCATCGTAATGGGAGCTACACCCAAAGAGAGTGGTAGCGTATTCGGTAGTAAGACGCAGAGAGTCGGTACTATGGAGAATGATCTCCTTGAGCAACACTGGAATTTGGCATACTAAAAGCTCGAAAATAAAGCCACGGACTAACTGGTAGTAGATTTAGACTTTACATTGAGTATACCACACCTTATCCATCTATGTTTGGTAATACTTGTGTACGTATGTAAGTATGTATGTAGTATATTTGCAATAACGTATACATATATTTCATTCTTTCTGCACACTCTCCCATTTGTTCCGATCTTACGACATCCTATGTGCTTTTTGTAACAAAATGTGACATTACCGATATTGTCAAATACGAAATTGCATATCTGAAAGAATGAAATGTCGGTATCTTTTCCATTCTCGCATTCTTGCTGCCTTTCATTGCTGCTCCAGCTCGTAAATAATGCGCAGGCATTCGGCAACACCAACAATAAAAGTGCCGCGTATCCCTTTTTCGGCAAACAACATGATCATAGTGACGATATTGAATTGCCAAAGGACTTAAGGCTTCCTAATATTACGGTGGATCATAGAGAACCTGTAATGCTTATCGCTGGCGGCTATCGACCCGAAAAGAATATACTATCCAAGTATGTTGTGTCCATACGCACGTCCCGATCGACTGCATATTTTGGTGATAATCACTTTTGTGCCGGCTCCATAATTTCAGAACGTTTGGTGCTCACTGCGGCGCATTGCGTTGTTGAGTAAGTAGATGGAGTGTGGATGATTGTCAGTTTCGCAATTCATTCACTATTTTTATTAGACAGTTCTTTGCTAATTTTGTAAATGATTTAGCCGTCGTAAGATGGTTACTCGTCCGCATCGCCTGCTCGTCGTTGCTGGCGCTCCGAATCGTTTACTTAGAATTTCGACCACTGTTGAACGCAAGGTGCAAAAGGTCCTACCACACAATCAATTCGTATGGAAAGGAGTGCATGATATTGCGCTTTTGTTGCTGGCTAAACGCTTTCCGGACGATAACGACAACATCAAAGTAATACCTCTGATCAATGATTTTGTCACTCCCGGTACCGTGTGTCAAATAGTTGGCTGGGGTCAGATATTTTTTGTAAGTATCCATATACATACGTATTTTTATATCCAAATATAACCTTGTTCGAAATCGCCTTTTTGGAAAACTATAGCTTAGAGTTGATCAGCGGTTGTTAAGATTTTCAAAAAAAAAAAAATCTTTAACTTTCTATTATAACTTTCTCTCGTCTTGTCTTCTTACACTTCCGTATAGCGTGGCCCATATTCGGCGAATGCTTTAGTAGCAAATGTAACAATTTTTTCCTATGAATATTGCCGAAAAGCCTATCCACGCATTTTTCATGAGTCTATGCTTTGTGCTGGCAGAGAGAATGAGTGGGATATCGATGCTTGCCGTGGTGATTCCGGTGGTCCGTTGATTTGCAATGGACATTTAGCCGCTATTATTTCGTGGGGTTCACATTGTGGAGAAAACGGAAAGCCAACTGTTTTCACCAGTGTTCATCATCATCGTGAATGGATAAATTTTGCGAGTAAAGGAAAATCAGTCACAGCGCTAAGTCGGCACTTTTTGTTATTGATAACATTTGTGAATATTTTTTTCCGTTTTGAATAATTTTTGTTTTGTTTTCTTTAAAAGTTGAATAAAAATCGACCAATAATATTAAAAATATAAATATTTTATTTTCAGATTTAAGTAATATTTAAGTACTTTTGTGGCTCGTATTGTCACCTGAAGTGCAAAAAGCTGTAACTAACGTTGTCACTGAAACGCAAAAGTCCTTAGCTAACAAAAATTCCAAAATTCACTTTTTGGTTGACCATGATGCATTTCAGCAAATTACAACTCCCTACAAAAAAAAATTATAAGTACCTACGCAAACACATAAAATAATAAAAATTCTCAAGCTCTCTTTAATTCTATTTTATTTTATATGCATGTTGTCATATTACATTGCACTAAATTTTTAAACTAATTTTTTGGGTTAATCATACCCGTCAGAGAGATGGCCCGTAGTTTCGTGTGTTTTGAAATTTTTTTTGGGTTTTATCGCACGCTGTAATTGAGGTTCATCTACGTATGTATGTATATATGTATGTGATATTATTTGTATTATCTATTAGATTAAATTAAAAGGTTTTTTCTATTAAAGAGCGGAGTTCTATTTTTTTTTGTAATTTGAAAAAATCTGCCTACTTTGCAAATACTATATATTTAAGCTAATAGTTTTAGATGTTTTGAGAGGGAGTAATAAAACAAAAATATCTTGAAGGCACAGCGTAGCATGCGGGGTATTTGCTAGTTGAAGATATTTCTAAATCAAAGATATCTCAAACACTTTCGTTTGATACCCATATTCAGCTTATCTTATCGATTTAAACGAAATAAATGTCTCAAATAGGTGGCAACCCACTTCAAAAATATGCTCGACAGTAAACTTTCTTAAACCTCTTTAGTTTAAAACCTATATTGTAATATTTAATTTATTTTATCAATTTAATTAAATATCATTTTTCAAACAGGTGGCTACCCTACTCGAAAATATTTTCGGCAGTAAAGTTTCCCAAGCCTCTTCAGTTTGATGCCCATATGCCAATATTTAATTTATTCTATCAACTAAATTAAATTGAAATTTTCTAACATGTGGCAACCTTACAAAAAATATTTTCGGCAGTAAACTTTTCCAAACCTATTCAGTTTGATGCCCTATTTCTTTTGACAACGACACTTCAACATTTGCTCAATCTTATCAATTTACCTAAAGTGAAATTTACAAATAGGTGGCAACTCTCTAATTTTTTCTATATTTTAAGTTGGATCTCTAGCAACTCATTGGTGAAAACTGAATTCAATTCCATGCATTGGTTTTTGAGTAAAGCGCACAAACATACAGACAGACAGACAGTCTAAACCGGGTTTAGAGTTGGGATCGAGATAGAGGAGTAGAGGAGATAGGTATTACCTTTGAGTCGAGTATTATGTATATAAATCAGCTCAATGAGCCCATATGTTTTATAGACGCACATCAAGTCAACCACGCACTTCATATGCCTGATATGAGAGAGAGAGAGAGATATACATATATGTGGGCAGGCCGATGAAGCGGTAGCGCAAGATGTGACCCTTTTACCATTTATAAATTAGCTGACCCCATTGGAGGAGTTATGCTCTAGCTGCCGTAGGGAATGGAGTGTGGGCGATGCTTAAAGCACTTGTGATAGCCAAGCTGGTAAGCGCTGACCATGGCTGGAAATGCCAGCAACTTATTACTTCATTATGTTTAGCGAGGAGCGAATCGGTTTTTACACTCAAGTGCGGGTATTTGATCGCGAAAAAAGCAGCAGTCGCTTAAACAGTCTCTATATAATTTAAGTTTAAAATGGTTCCAAGGATACGCTGCGTAAAGATGTTACTTTTTTAGCGAGGTTCTACGAAAGGTTCTCAAAATTTCCACGGCATTACTTGAAAAATAAGTACAAAAAAACTAATATTATTTATAATATTTGCTTATGACCCTTCAAGCATTAAATAAAGTGTTCTATGTAGTTGCAGTGACTCAGTTCGATGGCAAAAACTCGCTCCTTTATTTTATTTCTAAGCGAAAGATAGATAATACGCTTCTTGCAGAACCAATGTGTAAATTGAAAAATGAAAGATAATTACCACAGAAATTAATAATTGTAAGAGAATTTTTAAACTTCGTATGAGAAACATCACCGCTGGTATTACATTTTGTAACAAGCTAACAAAACTCTATCACAGCTGTTATCTAGTCAAAGAAGCGCAGAAATAGCACAACAAGAATAATGGCGACATGTAAATATGTATAGTGCGGTGTAATTGCAATTGGAGCCGCGAGCTGTGGTCAATGCATAAACAAATAAATACAACAACACTGCATGAAATTTACCTCTTACACACACAACTTCACTTTCACATACCCACATGCGTTCATAAATACATGTTCTATAAACCGCAAAAATAACAGTGACAATGGCAGACTGCCGCAAAACAACACCAATGCTTGCCACTAACAATGGCGATAACCAAGTTGACTAAATGCAAAAACAATAACAACAACCACGTTTAGCTGTAATATAATCATGGTTGGGTGCATAGGAGAGGCAACACAAACAATAAGCGTCGGTACTAAATATAAGTACAAAAAAATAGTAAAAAAAGCGCTTACAATAACCAACACCAATTAGAATTTGGTATCCGATTTCGATTTGTGGTTGACTACCTGTCCTGTGTAACCATATACGTAGTACATACATAATTCGCTAACAGGCAGTGGAACGATTTGGCGTTAACTAATGCAGGTTACGTATACGCAGTGCTATCTAAGCTAAGCACTGGGGTGGTGAGTGCGCTTAAGTTACATTTTTTCCTATGAGTATTCGTGCTGGATAAGCGGTGTATTCTACACTAAAGTCGCGATAATTGCTTACATATGTACATATATTCTTATTGGCAATTAAAGCCATATCGCAATTGCTTTACATAACTTTATTAATTGCATTTGCAAATCGCGTCTGCTTAATAACATTCCACTCGAAAGAATCAATTAAAAATATGTGAAATAAAAACCTCTATTGTGGATGATATTTTATCGCAATATTGCTACCTATAAAACCAGATTTTCCCCAATCTAAAACTTTAGTATGTACTCTGTTAGAAAAACTTACTAACTTCGGTAAGAGTCGCCACCCATAATTGCCTAGTATGCGTTTCAGATTGAGAAAAATTGCTTTCGCAGATAATTACCTCCCATCCACCCCCATACACCCATCTAAGAAGGGTAGATAAAGGTGTTCCCATCGCGATTAAGCTCATCCTAGCCGGCAAAATTCTATGCAATACTACTGTGATCGAAAGATAAGTCAGGTAAGCCCCATTTACTTTGAGCGCACTATAAGCAAGCCCAAGGCTCTCATTGTCGCTTGGATAACAGAGTAGAAGTTGAATGCTCTTGTGGCTGTCACGCAAATCAGCAGCCAATTGATTGCTTCTTTAATGGCAGCTATATATAACAAGAAAACGCAACGATGATTTTGAAGGCTTAATTGAAGGTTGATGAAGAGTTCTCTACTACCGCCTCTTCCGTCTAAAATTTCAGTCGTGCCTCCTTCACACCATTGCCTTCTGTATAAAATTCTCTAGAAGGGATGTGAGCGCAGAATAGGCTGATTGAGGAAAAACTTTGAAATAAATTACACATACACACATCAAAATTCTCTATTAAAAGAAATATTAAAAAAATTTATTTTTCTTGAAAATTTTTTCACATATAAATTTTTTGATAAAAAAATTAGTTTTTAAAAATATGTCATCTCAAAAAAAAAATAAAATAAAAACACAACGGTAACTCTGAGTCTTGCGCAATATTTAAGTATAGTATTAGGTTTTTTCCAAAAGCTACTCGAAGTCCCTTCGAGTTACACATACGCGTTCCACCAGTAAGTTTTTGCGTTTATTTGATATACGCTGACAGTTTGAACTTTGCTCGAGTTTTTCTACAAGTAGGTTGTGGAACAAACCTATTATGAAGTGCACTCTACAATAATTTGAGTTATGAATTTTTTGTTTTACACCGAAGTTGTGTAAAATGAGTACATTACAAATTTACAAATTTTTCTTTAGAATTTTTCCGAGTGTGCAGTTTTATAGTCCATTAAATTTTGGTATAATAAATTTTTGAGCGAATTTTAAGCTGCTGCAAAATTTCGTTACTTCTTAATATTTTTTATGCGGACGGCTTTTTGCACTTTTTTCTTTTGGAAGAAAATTTGTAAAACTGTTTTGCAAGGAAATTAAA